ACGTCTGATTCACGTTTCATTAAAGAAGAACCCGTCCAGAGGACCTATACAATTTTTTTTTCCTTTGATTTTTTACCTGGATTACTGAGATGCATCAGGACGTCTGATTCACGTTTCATTAAAGAAGAACCCGTCCAGAGGACCTATACAATTTTTTTTTCCTTTGATTTTTTACCTGGATTACTGAGATGCATCAGGACGTCTGAGAAACGTTTCATTAAAGAAGAACCCGTCCAGAGGACCTATACAATTTTTTTTTCCTTTGATTTTTTACCTGGATTACTGAGATGCATCAGGACGTGGTTCATGTCTGTTCAGTTTTACTGAAGTGTAGGTAAGTTTACACAGCAGTCTCACTCTGTAGGCATGATTGTGGGCAGATTTTCAGCAGACGGCTGTTGCTATTGTGGTTTTATCGTCCGGTAGTCAAACTTTTTAAAAAAATTATTTGTTTAAAAGTGTGCATGTAACCGTGGGTGGCCAGTTTGTTCAAAACTTCCTGGTATCTGCTTATTTCGTGTAGTGAGTTGTTAGGAGAGAAACAGCAAAGGGTGATAACTATTTCTGTCTTACACTCCACTTTTACCAAGTTGGGGCACCAGGTCACTTTATTGACCAACATTTATTTACCCTTTTTAATCAGACTCATATTTACCGAAGTGTGAGATTTGTAAGATATGCAGGGAACACCTATTCCAGATCAAAATACTCAAAGATGAGGAACCAGCTTTGTCTTTTATGGTAATTTATAACAAAAATTTAGCAAGAATTTTGTTGAATCATGACTAAAAACAGTGAAAATAACAAAAACAAGCACTGAGGTTTTAAAACAGTTAAAGTTGAAAAGGAGTGTGGACTTGATGTTACAGTAAGATAAGGTCTGGATGTTAAAACCTTTATAGAATGAAAATGAGCCGGATTAATTTTAGTAACTTTTATCTTACTGCAAAAAGATTATCAAGGTGCCTGAATTGTTTAACCAGGTTTTGAGATGTGATTTGTATGAGGATAGGGTCTGTACAGTTTAATTAAATTACATTTTCCAAAAATAACTAAAAGCCTTAAAGGGATCCCCGATTAGTTGTAACATTAGACTTTATTTGATAAACATGTACTTTAACTGTAAAAATATTGTAGGATGTTTAGTTTTTATAATTTTTAAACTAAAAGTTTAAAAAT